GTACTTAACTTAAATGCAGGTGTTTGAAACTATACAATTCATTTAGTTAATTAATTTTAAATCTGTTAAATTATGACCATGCTGGTCAACAATGGCAATCATTTTGTTCTTCAGAATGCAGAACCTTGTTTTAATAAATATGGTAAAAATGTATTTCAGGATGTAAGGGCTCAGAAAATGTTTTTGTGAAATCGTAAAGATCTTACAATAATTAAATCGACATGTCAAGGAAAATGATAGCCAGAATATATTAGTAGGCAAAATTTGATAAAGAATTAAATGTCATCAGATTCATGATATATTTTCTCAAGCTTCAACCTCAATGAAAAACGTATACGGAATAATATTGGAAACGTCCTAGCTCTATAATTGTAGGATCTTTTACAAAGTCATTAAATTCTAGTCTAAAAATAAAGCATTCATTTTATTTGGCACATAGATAATTTTCTATAAAAAATATACGGTTACCATTATCAATAAATCCAATAAACAATTGGTTTAATTTGTGTCAAATTAATAAGCTACAAATGTAATTATTTTGTGTGAAAGTCTCTTTTCTTCTTTTTTGTCTTTTTTTCCGTATATATACTGTAATTTTGTTAATTATTCAGAAATAATACTTTCTATTTCCACTACTAGAACTCTTCAAATTAGAGGTGCGTTTGGTCGTCTGACTGGGACAACAATGACCTAGCGGAGAATACAAAACATGCCGATCTCAATCCAATTTTGAATGTTAAATGAATTTGTCATTCAAGTTAAAGAAAAGAAGAACTAATAGGCATATGTGAGATTGCGAAAGCCCAGAATTTGTCATCCATTGATAAACATTACGACGCTTCCGAGGCATGTACATTGTATTTAGACACGAACCGTCAGCACTAAGTCTTGTCAACAACTTCCTGAGGTGAAAAAATTGACGTTATTGTTTCTACTTCTTATGCATGTTAAGTCCACAACAATACAGTATCTCGTTTGCATGTTTGTTTCGCGTTTTTTCATCAACATTCAACATACTGGTTACATGTTGTTACGATTGTCCCTGAAATCCAGCGAGATTTGTACATTTTCCGACTTTTTCAAAAAAGAGCGCACTAAGAACTATAACTCTTCCATGGTGGAATTTTTCAAAAAGAGCGCACTAAGAACTATAACTCTTCCATGGTGGAAATAGAACGTATTGTCATATAAGATTGTAAATATGATGTATATGTAACACTTTTTCTTCCAAAATAATTATTATTAGTTATTATTAGTCATTAGTTTCAACTGCCTTTATATTATTGACATTGTTTTTTTTGTTTTGTTTTTTTTTGTTTTTTTGTTTTTTTTTTTTTTTTTTGTTTTTTTTTTTTTTGTTTTGTTTTGTTTTGTTTTGTTTTGTTTTTTTTTTTTTTTTTTTTTTTTTTTTTTTGGATACACTGTGAATTCTCAGTTATGACAAAGCTCCTCCCATTAAGTTATTAACCCCGCCTACTGGGACCCGCTGACGGAATTGCTTTTTGGGACAGTTTTCTGAAAGCAGTCCCCGGGACTTATCTGGGACTGCTTTATGTCCGGTTGGGTCTGGTTGGTACTGTAGAGGGACAGCCAAACAAGCATACAGACAGAAGGAGAGGAAACCGATAATCTCTCCAGGTATCACCTCTTGAGATTTTTCAGTTCAATATAATTCAATTGACTGTCATTTTTAGAAAAAAAAACTAATTCAATCTATGTAATAAGTTATGAAGGAATCCAAATGGTTGGTTTTCTTTTCCGTGAAATTTGCTTAGGAATGATGTGACGCCCTTGTCAACACAGAACATTCTGTGATGGTTCCATTTCAGACGTATAAAAAAAATAATTTATGTGTGAAAACATGCAAATGATAAATAGGGTGGCACAGGACACTAAATACTTGAATTACGTTTTCCATGATAGTGAGCTGAACATATAAATAAAACTGTATATAGTTTTGGAATTTTTTTAAAAGTCTGTCTACATGAAAAAGTAACAAGTTCCTGTCTTTCGAGCATTTGGAAGAATGAACCATGTAAAACTTCTATTACATCCAATTAATGATATAGGGTTAGTCTCAATGAATTTTAGTCTTTTATTCACCATTAAACCTGGTCCACAACAGCTTTCAAGCCAGTGCTGATGCCCTGCGCTAAGACACAAAATTTAAACCAATATCTATTCATTACACTGATCTGGAAGAGATTCTGGGCTCTTCAATCCTCCCAAGCTAAATTTTATCCTAAAAAAAGCCAATCTGCTCTCTGAGGAAATCTTGTGAATGTGATTTCGATTTTACTTTAGTATATCCTTTCCATATCCTGTGAATGACAGCATTAAAACTAAAGTATCATAATTATCGGTATATGAATATTTAAAAACTGAAAAGAAAGAAAAGAAAACAAAAAAGCACCACCTTGTAAATGCATTTGCACCTTAGGACTGTTTAATTTTTTGCTCAAATAGTTGACCAGTATTTTTTTCCCGAAGCTATTTTGTGCCATGTAAGCACATTTAAAACGTTAAAGTGTTTGCTTATCTGTTCTCACAGCAGCAGGACTTCAAAGGGGTTTACGGTTCCGCTAAAGACAACGAATAAGTTTTAACATTTGACCAAATTTTATTCATGTTCCTAATTGTTGTAACGTAAGCTTTAAACTCCTGCAAACCAGAGTTATAAACTTTATAAATACTGTTTGACTTGACAGTTTTCCAAGTAATAGATGTTTAAAATTCTATGTACAAGTGTACACGAATTAATATTCATTTTGCATAAGCAGATTTTTGTTTGTTTGTTTTTCAACTAGTGTAAAGTTACCCAATGTTGGTTGTTACAAATATTTTGTGGGTCCTCTTATTCCTGAGGTTTACCTTAATTAATTAAAGAGATTGGTTTAACTTTAAACATGAATTTATCAAAACAATAAAAAAAATTATTTATGATTAATAAATACAATCACTAGAAGTAATTATGGATAAATGGGTCAGGACATATATATAGCAATAATCAGTTGATTGGGTCACCCAAAGATCAATTTACCCAATGGAAACAGATTCTTACCCAATTATAATTATGGGTGTAAATGAGTGAGTTGAGAATATTTAACATGCGTTGGAGAGTCTCAGTCAAGGTGTTAATACGACTGACCAACATCCCAAACTGAAGAGGACATTCAAAACGTCGCCTTTATATACCTTTCGTAAATAGGTGCGAATTACTTTACGAGCGAATAACAAGCGGTACTGCAAGTATTCGCGCGACGATTGTGAAGTTACAACTTAACTTTTGCACCAAGTAAAGGCTTTAGCACTACAAAGGCGGAAAAAGGGATGAGTTGTTGTTTGTAATTGTTTTGGAGATGATGCAAAGTTGATTTTGGGTATGTCAGTTGAATACCATAGCCAGGTGGCCTTTTGTTATTTCGAGACGGCTAATCTATGGAGGAAATTCGGCTTTGTACAGTACAAACAGACGATATTTATGAAATACACATATATAAGATGAAATATAAAGCATACATTTATAACATACAATAGTTGGTGATATTCTCATGATATCTACAAATGGAATTACGACAAACAGATTTAATATTCAGGGAACAATTCAGGGTGATCCAATCTGGGTTGTTTTGGTAAGGGTAAAATCTGTAACACAGCCCCCCTTCATAAAAAAAACATTCGTCCTGAATGTTGGATCTTTTTATAGCTACTCATTATTTGTCACTAGTTTTCATGGGAATATCGCTATTTAAAGAAAACATAGTCAATGACTTAATTTTGCGATAAATATTAATAATGGGCCACAACAAAACATACATATAGATATAAACTACATGTATAACAATGAGGTCAATAAGTTATATATAACAATTATAGGTATGAATAACAATATAACATGAATAACACATTGACAATTATCAGTACATCAGTTTTTAACAAAACAGTTTATAAACCAATGTTTCTTTTTTGTTTTATCACACATGCGCGGATCTAGAAGGGGGTTTGGGGGGAGGGGGGGTCCGGCCCCCCCCCTCCACTCCCTAGAATTTGCAGAGTTATTAAAAGTATAAACTGAAGAATAAAAATGACTTTGGACCCCCTCTAGAAAACGTGGACCCCAACATCCCAACCACGAAACAAGTGTTTTTCACGTTTTGGAAATGGATTTTACTTTTTTTTTTTTTACATTTTTTTAAATTTTTTTTTCTTATTATTTGCTTGTCAAGAAATTTTTGGGTTGGAATTTTTTTTTTGACTGGGATGGACCCCCCCCCCCCCGGAAAAAACATTACTGGATCCGCGCCTGTCACAGTTCATCTTTACTTCCTGGATCCATTTGAATGGAACAGTCACAACAGGGACATATCACAAATGGGTTGCTCTACGAATTTTCTGATTTCATCCAGTGCCGAGTATCGACATTCTTTAAACAGTTCACAGAGTTGAGTAATGCACGTCATTTGGAATGTCTATTAAAAAGATCCAGCACACATCTGTTTATTGTGAGTGAGTTGGGAATCTTTACCAAGCGTTGGACAGTTCAGTCAAGGTGTTAATAGAACTTACCAACGTCCCACACTGAATAGGACTTTCAAAACGTCCCTTTTATATACCTTTTGTACGTCGGTGCGAATTACTTCACGCGCGAATAACAAGCGGTACCGCAAGTATCGCGATGATTGTGAAGTTACAACTTTTGACCAAGTAAAGGCTTTAGCATTATAAAGGCGGGAAAAGAGATGATTTGTTGTTTGGAAATTGCTTTGGAGATGATGCCTATTTGATTTTGGGTACCTTGGTTGAATAACATTGCCAGACGGCCTTTTGTTATTACGAGAGGGTTGATCTATGAAGGAATTTTTTTGTACAATACAACTAGAAGATATTCATGAAATAAACATATAAGATGAAACATAAAGAAACATTATTACCATACAATAGTTGGTGATATTCTAATGATATCTACAAATGGAATTACGACATACAGATTTGATATTCAGGGCATAATCAGGGTGATCCAATCTGTGGGTTGTTTGGTAAGGGGGAAATCTGTAACACTAGTCCTTTTATCCACCAGTATTAAGTGGGAAAATTTACATTTAATTTGTTTCACATATATCTATGTGTTGTAAGCTAGCACTCAAACTCTTTTAATTCGGCTATTTTCATAAAGCAGACAATAATTTGACTTCTTTATCAGTGAAAGGAGGAGGTCATTTCCCGTCAATTTTGGTTTTACATCATGTACATAGAGATAAATATTATTTATTTTTTTAGTTTTAGTGCTTACGGGATCCTGTAACAAAAATTTGAATGCTAGTGTATTTCATCAACATATGTGAAATAATTTGAATATAATTTTGCCATTAACTGATAGAAAAAATATATAATTTTAGAACTAAAAATATGTTTCCCTTGTAGAATTTCTCGAGAATTGAAAAACTTTAAGCTTATATTCACGTGAAAGGGGCAATAGGTAATAAGTTTATATGTAATATTTTTTCAAAATTCATAATCTTTGAAAGGATATACTTCCTGCATGCACATACTCCGCATTTCAAAATATCGGCGTCAAAAAGTGTGTCAAAAGGAATGATTATACAAAAGAGGATTTTCAATGTAAACAATAGTGTTAGGTTAATGAAATTTAAAAAGTGTTTTTTCCGCCCTTAACCGAAAAATCTTCAATGAATACCATTTGAACAACTTTTAATAAGTACTTACGATAAGTATTTCATACTTATAATCATGTAACGGCTGTTGGTAAGCCGACGAAAGAATTGGAGAAAGGGTAAATATGTTTGCACCAGTGTCAAGAATCCCGGGGAATTGAAGTGAGATTCTAGGGGCTGTAGATCCGAATAAGAATGAAACTCCAAGCATCCGCTATCAATAGGAACCATGGGCAAGGTTCACAGTGCCAGGCCGAAGAGTTACCCAGTCATTAGAATTCAACTCACTGTATATATTCTGTAATTAAAGATAATAGAAAAACCCAGATGTTTTACTCCATCTCCCTCTCTCTTTCTCTCTCTCTCTCTCTTGAAATTATTGTTTGAGATGATACTGTTTTATAACAATGAATATAGTGAGTGCGCAGACGCAGAAAAACACCGTCTTGGGAGAAGACCACATCAACAATAGTTTTAAAAGTCAGATGATAAGTGTAACACTTAAAGCTTTGTGCTTCTTTTCTGTATAATTTTTTGGTTATTGATTAATTGATTGATTTCAGTTTTAGATTCAGTGCAAAATATTAATTTAACTCACATGAGTCGTTTTTTTATCCAGTGAAGGGCTTCCATTTTAGACCTTTAATAGGCACTCAGGGCCATTGAGCAATGAGCTCCCATTAGCGTACCAGCGTCGGTCGTGACACGGCAAAAAACAAAAAAAAAAAACAAAAACAAAAACAAACAAACAAACAAACAACAAACAAACCAAAAACAAAAATGAACACAAACAAAAACAAAACAAAAAAGTAACACAAAACAAAGAAACATAAAATTAAAAATAATTACTTACGCTGTACCAATTTACATGTAAGTATAACCAATAATGTACAATCTTTCATTGTCCTTTCATTGTCCCCACTTTACTTGGTAGGTTACTCTGTTCTCCGACCTCAGACAAAGATTTCTTCTTAGATGACCAATCCATTTTTTTTAGGATTCCTAAATTGAAAAACATTCAACACTGTAAATAGTTGCTACCTAGCAAAAGTAAATATAACAAGAAACATATGAGCATCGGTGAAAAGAAGTAATTTATGATACCTTTAAAGGAAGTCCAGATATGCAATATTCAGAGATAAATATTAATTAAGGTATAATGATAATATAATTATTTTCTTAGTTATAAGTTAAATAATATCCGGTACCAATTTTGATGCACCAGAAGTGCATTTCGACAAATTATGTCTCTTCAGTGATGCTCATGCCGAAACGTTTGAAATCCAAACTTTTTGAAGAGCTGAAAAATAGATGCAAAAGACTGGAGCCAAATACGTCGAAGGATCAGAGCTATGCATGAAGGAGATAGTCCTTATTTTTGAAATAAACTTCCAAATTTTACCACCATTAAATATATATCCGTATTTTCAAGCTTGTACCCAAGTACTTAGCTACTGGGCTGTAGAGACCCTCGGGGACTAACAGTCAACCATGAAATACTGATAGTCGCTGTACAAAGATCTGAAGACATTCCACTGAGGGCTTTGTACAGCGACTATCATAATTTTGGAGCGTAACAAAGATCTGGTTTTAATCATGTTGTTTTTCTTAATCTGAAATGGGAAAACTAAATAATGATTATGGTTCCTTGAATATGTTAGTCATTACAGTTTTTAAAGACAAAACTAGATGTAAATTTATATGTACATTCACCTATATTATTGGGTTGTTATATGGTTTTGGGAGGGGAAGTAACTGTGTGATTCAGCTTTCCATACTTGAATCCCACCTTATTTCTTTCATGAATTGTTACATCTTTGCAGATATCCCTCATGTCAATTGCGTATGGGTTTTAGAATTTGTCCACTGGGGTCTGCTGTATATTTCATTTTGTGAATAATAGAACAAGGAGATGTGTTATTTAATTAATGTTCTTGACTATCTTTCAGGTCTCCAACTGTTTCATTTAATAATACAATAATTCATCGCTATTGTAATATTCTATTCTAAAAAAAAATCTTCCACATCAAAACAACGTAATATACAACATTTGAAGAGAAATTTTACCTGAATTTGTTAAATAAATGTCGTTTTATCACAGTCTATGAAGTTCCACCCCTGGAAAAAACTAGCATAAACCCAGAGAATGTTTCAATAGGCTACAGAGAAATGAAATGCATCTAGATTATTTGTTTTTAAATGCCAAAAAAGATTCAGAGAGGACAGACGCACATTTAATGTCGATTTGTAGTGTCCTGGTGTCCAAAGACAGTCAAACGTGACGCTTTTCAAGCACGGCAGATATTGAACTCTAACAAGCAAATTATGCTGGCAAAATCAAGTAGGAATCGTTACCTTTTATATAAATCTATTTACAACATTATGTTAGCTGTTCATGACATTTGTAAAGTCATATAAACAAAACTTTTGTTGTTTTGTGTTCCCTACAAATTTTGCTAGAACCGACTACATAATATATTTTTAATTTTATCGTTTCATTCAATGAACTTTCCGGTAATTCAATGTATGTTATATATTTTAAGTTGACGCAGTGCTGGCAACGAGAATTGATCCCGATCATGAAGCGAGCTCCCAACCACTATGCTTCCGCAACCAGTGCAAAAAGGAGATAGATATGGTAGTAATTAAATGGAATGTTAGTTTTAAGCTATAACAATAAATTTACACTTTGTTTAGGTTAAAATAAACTCAGAGCAAACAAGGGCTTCTTAAAACAGGAGTGGGATCAGGTGCCATCGAGAGTAAGCATCACCAGTCAACCGGACACATTCGCCTATCCATTTAGCTCTTGACCTTACCTGTGTTTCTTTTCCTTCATTTTCATATACAATTTATTCCCTTTTCTAATTTTTTGTAACGTATTAATATTTAAATGATGTTGATTTTCTTTTTGTTCTAGTTCACTTTCATTGTTTTGTATTTTTCGATTCATGTTCTATTCTTTTCTTCTCTTGCAATTGCTGATAATAAGATGTTCTACCTTAAGTTTGATTAATTCCCACTTGAAAAATTTGAAATAGGAAACATTGTTCTTGAACGAGGCCGAGTGTAATCATTTCTACCCTAGATATTTTGATAAATTTTCTTGTATGAATTTATACTATTATATTGATTGTTTTAAGATAAAAAAAAAAATCGAATGTTTACATCCCGATTTCTTAGCGGACCATCTCAAAAGTTGTCAAATTTTACTATTGGACCCTATGGGAATTTGTTGGAAAAGCGTCAAATTATCACATTTCCCCCACTTTTATTGTATTTTTGCCCTATGGATTTTTTTTTAGTCAAATACATGAAAGTTATTGTAAAAAGTCACCGAATTGTGAAATTTTAAAAAAATTGACCATCTTGGTTGGTCTAAGAATTATTACAAAGTTTTTTGGGTTTTTTTTCCCAATGCCCAATACCTCTAAATTCTCTATATTGCGGTATACATGTGTATTTATCGGCGGAGATGAATTATATTGGTAAAAAAATAACAATGTTTGGATTGCTGATATGTTTCTTTTGATGTTCTGTCAACATTTTGAAGTGAAATGTCCATAGATGCACAAGCGAGTCATGCGTCAATCTTCAGCGTCATGCATTGCTTACAAAACTTGAAAACAGTGACGTCGTTAGAGCCATTTCAGAGTTTATTCCCAATTATTGTCTTGACAGCACATTTTCAGACCCAAAGGCGTTATAGATACTGTTCATTTTGTATTAAAATCTCAAAAACTAGGAAAGGTGTAATGCCGTACCTTCGATTGCATGAAATTAAAAAAAGCTGAGCAAAGTTATGGGCATTCGAATTAGACTCGGCCTCGTTAAAAAAAAGCCTGAAGTTAACCTTGAAGTTAGCATTACTTAATATCTATTTGTATTCGGATTTTACATATGGGAACATTATCGTACACATATATAAAGGTTTACTCACCGATAACTTAGTACTCTTACATAAATTAAACACAAGCAATATAATACAACTCGTAGTATATCAGTTAATTCGGAGATAAAAATATCATCTACTGTTGATTATAGTTTAAAATGTAAATTTTAAAAAAAATCATACAATTTCAAGGAACCAAGGAACAATATTTGAAATCACTAAATTTTACCAAAATCAAAACTATCAAAACGTACGACTTTTTGGCACTTTATACAGCCAGTTCCTGCAATAAAAAGTCCAGGATTTTTGACATTATTAACAGCCGCTTTTTCAATAAAAATGGAACTTGAAATCTTACTTACCCTGTCATCGGTCATTTGCAAAATTATTTTGTTAAAAAACATTCTGATTGTACACAAAAATATTCTGTAGTTGACAATAAAAGAAG